GAGGGTATTATGCTAAGTGAAATTAGCCAGTCAGAGAAAGACAAGTATCATATGACTTCAACAAACATGAGGAATTTAAGATACAAAACAGATGAACATAAGGGAAGGTAACAAAAAAACAAAGAGGCGGACAAAACATAAGAGACTCTTAAATACAGAGAACAAACTGAGGGTTGCTGGAGGGGTTGTGGGTGGGGATATGGGCTAAATGGGTAAGGGGCATTAAGGAGGACACCTGCTGGGATGAGCACTAGGTGTTATACATAGGGGATGAATCACTGGAATCTACTCCTGAAATCATTAGAGCACTATATGCTAACTAACTTGGATGTAAATTATAAAACAAATTAAAAACAAACAAACAAACAAATAAATAAATGAATGAACTTCACCTTGGCAGAGAACAGGATTATGTTAAGTAGAATAAAACCAGTCACTTCAAAGTATTAAACTTCTTACCTTTTCTCCATCCCTTCCTGGTTCACCAGGGGAACCAGGATCACCAGGTAAACCCTTTAAAACATAGAGGACAGAATGACATCAGCAAAAATGGTGGAGTAAGAATGTCCAAACATGCTCTCCTCCATAAAAGCAACAAAGAACACCGGCAAAAATGGTCAGAGTCAACTTTTTTAGAAGTCTAGAAATTAGCCAAAGGCTTGCAGCAATCCAGGAAGGTTTGTTGGGGAAAACAAAATGATTGAATCTTGGTAAGAGCACAGAGCTTTCTGGTATTTGAACCTGCTCTATTCCCATCACCCTTCTTCAGCTCCACACAACCTTGAAAACCAACAGCTCATAATCAAGGTGAATACCAGCACCCTAGCAGCAAATGTAAGGGACAGAACTGGTTGGAGCACTTTCAAAGACCCACTGACAAAGAACTGTAGTGATTTGACCTGTCTGGTGATTGTCTTTATTTGACCCGATTTGAGTTCTCCCAGGGAAAACAGAGAACATCTTTTCCCTGAAGATATCTGTGAAAATCAATCAGAGGTAATTACTAATCATCATGGCTGCCTAAAACATGAAACAAAGACCACGATTGTTCCCAAAAGCTAGGAACTAAGACCCCAAATTTACCTCCCATTAAGCCATTTTATGTTAATTTGTGAATCTAGAGTTTATAAATTGAGGACTGCCTGTTTAGCAGAATCATCTGGATACCGATTTATCTGATTTTATTACTTCCAACTTCCAGTCTTGTTAAGAAGTATCCCTTTCTTTCAGAATGGTCTCCAAAATTTTATCAAATTTTGTCCTTGAAAACCTCTTTTAACATTACTGTAGATACTCTTGATACTGAGGTCGCTTGAAATAATGTTCCTGGACTTGGACACTTTTATTTTCCTCTTTAATTTATAGTAATTAGAATGATCTGTAAAAACTTTTATTGAAAAAACTTCTGTTCACACAAAACATCATATGTGAATGTTTTAAACAGCTTCATTCATAATGGCCCATACCAGAAACAACCAAAATATCCTGCAGTGAGTAAATGAACAACCAAACCTTGATACATCCCTACATTGAAATACTACTCAGCAATAAAGGGAATGAACTATCGATATACAGTACCATGTATAATGCTATGTTAAAGAAACCTGATTCAAAAAGCTATATACAGTATGACTGCATTTAAATGAAATTCTGGAATACGGAATATCACAGGGATGGAGAACAGATCAATTGCTGCCAGGGGCTTTTGGTGGTAAGGATGGGAGAAGACTACAAAAGAACATTGGGGGAACTTTTGAGGGTGATGTAACTGTTTTTTTTATTATAAAGCTGGTTATACAATTATATGTGTTTGTCAAAACACACAGAACTATACACTGGAAATGGTTCATTTTACTGTATACAAGTTATAGCTCAATAAATCAGATTTAAAATATGAAATAAATTCATATTCAAAAGAGAAAGTATAATATCAATTCCTGCTATTTCCAAACTCAAGCTTGTTTGCCATCCTGCTTCTCTACCACCACATACAAATGTTGCCATTTTAGGGGGTCAGGTGGGAGGATGGACCTTTATCTACTCACTGGAATTCCTGGCTGCCCATTCTCTCCATCTTTGCCTGGTTTACCCTATAAGAGTCAAAGAAATGCAATAATATAAATTTGTTATTTAGGAAGTATGAGATTAAAGAATATAATAAGTTTTCTTTCTGCCTTGGACTATATATTAAGTAGACTCTTCAGACTTCAATATTATGATAAATAAATGACTATGTCAGTTGTGACATTTTGAGACAAAGAAAGTAGGATTTATGAGGAAAGAATAAAATTACGCACAAACACACATTTAAAATCTTTTGTAAAGAGTATTAATAGTCGTAACACTTACTCTTTTGCCAGGCTCTCCTTGCTCACCTTTCTCACCTTTCACACCACCTGGAGGACCCTGTACACCGAAAAGTAGTTTTACACAGGTTCGTGGAGTGCTATGTATCAATACCAATTTACATTAAATGACTCTAAAGAATTTTAGGCTACTTACCGGAGGACCACGTATCCCTGGAGGTCCAGGAGGCCCTCGGTCACCAGGAAGTCCCTATGCAGTAATAGGGGAAAGGAAAATAACGTTAATACTAGAGCTAGCTAAAAACACTTTTAACAAGCTGAACAATGGACTCATGTAGTATAACCAAAGACAATAGGATGTTTCTAATTCAAAGTTGAAATTTGCTAGGCAAAAGAACCAGAGCCATCTTTGCTTACCTCAGTTAATTTCTGATGTGTGCACAAGCCAAGTTTTTAGGTAAATAAAAAGACAACACTTAAAATGAAATTATTAATGGTACATTTTATAAAAAGCAAGAATACCCATAACCAGTCAATCTAGGAGCTATATAACACACATCCATTTTGGCAGAGAATTAAATGACCCGATCCATACTGATGGCAGAGTTTCAGTCAATCTGTTCTTTATTAGCATTTAAGTGAAACAAAAATATACACACTTTGTTCAAGGGTGGGCCACTATACTATAAATGATTTGTATGATCCCATCCACTCTAGTAGATACAAGGTATCAGATAATTATTTCTAAACACAACAAGGGTTTATACAGTAACACTATTTGTCATCTAAGACAATGATGATCTACTTTACCATGACCTAATTTCATACACAAATGCATTACCCACAATAGCCAAAAATGCAAATGATCCAAATGTCCATCAACTGATGATGCATAAACAAAATGTGGAATATTCACACAAGGGAATATTATTCAGCCACAAAAAGAAATGAAGTACTGATATATGCTACAATAAGAATGAACCCTCAAACAAACTAAGTAGAAGCCAGACACAGAAGATCATGTATTGTATGATTCCATGTATGTGAAGTGATCAGAATAGGTAAATCTACAGAGCCAAAAAGCAGATTAGTGGTTGCCTAGGGCTGAGAGTTTGGGGGGAAATGAAGAGTGACAATAAATAGGTATGTAGTCTTGTAGGGGGTGGTTGAGGAGAATGTTCTAGGATTATATTGTAGTGACGGTTTCACTACCCTGTGAATATACAAAAAAATGGAACGGTACACTTTAAATAGGTGAATTGTGTGGTATGTAAATTATATCTCAATGAAACTCTTTAAAAATTTTAATTATCTCAAATTCTTGTTATTTTTAAAATACCTTCACATATATAACTATATTCCAGCTTATAATGCATTTTAATGGAAAGCCACTTTTATAGCAAAATGTTCATTGGTTTCCTGTCTACATACTCACCTGATCTCCTTTCTGAAACTCTACATCAATTGGTCTTTTCTGTTCACTGATCTGTCCAGGTGGCCCAGGGGGGCCCTGAAGGCCTTGCTCACCCTGTTTGCAAGATTTAATAAGAAAGTAATATTTCATAATTTACACAGACAATAATACAAAACATAAGCTAAGTCAGTGGCAAGAAGAAAAAAGACAAGTTCAAATGATGAGGAAAGGAGAAAACTGAGGGCTGAATAATCAACTTTTTCCTTTACTCACCTTTTCACCCTTGGGTCCTTGGAAATTTAAGCCCATATTCCCCTGAAGAGAGACATTTTAGTTTAAAATCTCACTGACAATAACAAAAAGAATTCATACCAAATAAAAAATGTAAAGAAAAAGAAAATTACCTTTGGTCCTGGAAGTCCTGGTGGACCAGGAGGGCCCTAAGAATAGTAGACACAGAAAAAGAGAAACAGGATATACATTTATTAAAAATTATTTGGCTTCAGGGGCGCCTGGGTGTCTCAGTCGGTTGAGCGTCCGACTTCAGCTCAGGTCATGATCTCGCTGTCCGTGAGTTCGAGCCCCGCGTCGGGCTCTGTGCTGACAGCTCAGAGCCTGGAGCCTGTTTCAGATTCTCTGTCTCCCTCTCTCTCTGACCCTCCCCCGTTCATGCTCTGTCTCTCTCTGTCTCAAAAATAAATAAATGTTTAAAAAAATAAAAAAATTATTTGGCTTCAAAAAATTATTTGTTTTCATAAAAAGTGAGGACTGAAAATGCCCTTCAAAATAGTATCTTCCTGTTTTATTCTCACATTTAAATTGATTTTACCAATCTAGATGAATGTGGAGACTTCCTGTACCAGCATACAAGTAGGCAGAGGAAGAAATGCAAGGATGAGTAGAGGCAGAGGGGCAACACCAGTGCCAAAAATAAATACAAAAGTTAATCTCAACAAACATATCAAATTTCTCATATCAGAATTATAGGTAAATGTAGGTGTTACAAGGCAATTAACTCTCTAGTTCTAAAAAGCATGTGTTTCCCGTTTTTAGTTCTGTCTCATTTTTATGTGACCTGACTTTGTATATCTGAGAATGTTTCAAGGCTTGAAAAGTTAGATACGCATTTGTTTGCCCAAGTATATCACCTCTTGATCTCAATGGATCCATTTATTTACATATTGGACCCTGGTGGCATTTCTAAGACTTTGCTTCACCTGTTGAATCAGGGTTAACTGAAGGAACATTCAGGAATGCAGAGTGCATCAGTTATATAGCCACAAGAGTTGGGGAAACTCAAGATGTAATAACACTCGTAGGGTTTACTGATGTTGTAACAATGGAGTCAGGAAAAAGTGCCATAGTCCAGGGTCTCATGCATTGCAGGGTGTCTACAACTAAAATAAACTAAACAAAAGGGTTTTCTAATTCTCCCCAATATATTTCCAGGAAAGCAGAAATCACAATCTTTTCTGGTAGATTCTCTTAGTATTTACCAAATGCTATTTCCTTCAGTCAAGAATAGAGGACCAATTGTCACAAGCAAAATTGTACAATCTATAAAGGGATAATGAAAACTGTCACTTAAATATATGGGACATGAGAGAGTGGCACATGAGAAATTACTTTGACTGAAGTACAATTTTCTTGCCCTTTTAAGAGGGCAATAGTAAAGCTCTAAGTCCAAAGCCTGACTCGAATGAAATCTAAGTATTGCAGGGGCAAAAATACTCAGAATTTAATTACAGGAAAAAATATGAGTGACCATTGAGGTAGTAAAGTAAGAGAACTGGTTGCATACTCAAGGTCTTTACAAGTTGTTGCTTCTTTCCTGAGGTGCACAAATCCTTATCCCACTATGAAGTGATCCACTATCCTCACCAATCCTGTTTAGTCCCAGGCCCCTTAGAAACAAGAGCCAATATTTTTTGGGGGGGAATACCTGTTTTTTGTTCCTCTTAAACTGAAAACTGCAGATGGAAGAAACATGTTTCATCAAGTGACTAGAGAATTGCCTGAGAAGACTTAATGACATGGCCAGAATCAGCTTCAGCACTGACACATCAAGAGGTAACCAACAAAATATTTTATTTTAAATCTTTGCTTTTAATGAGAAAAAATGAAATATGGCCTTTTGTAGCAACGTGGATG